ATACAGTATTTTATGATCTGTCTTTTCCCCTTAAAAATAGGTGATAAGCGTCAACCCGGGATCATTTTCTGGCCACCTTTCCCTGTACTGGGCTTGGCTGTGGTGCTGGGAAAGGTTGGATGGGCTCCCTCCCTGCCTCTCCCCTCAGGAACGTGTGAAGCGCACGCTACAGGACAGGGCTGGGAGCAGCTCAGTGTCGTGGTGTGAGCTGGGAGGGGGCTGAGAATGAATCCGTGGATCCCGTCCCGGCTCAGGCTTAGAAGAAGCATGCGGTTTCCCCGCCCACGCGGGCTCCCGGGCCTCAGTGCAACGGAAGCATCCCCGAGGACAGCCCTGCGGAGGGTGAGCGCACAGACCACCCTGGTGATTCAGAGCTGGGCCGGGCCCAGGCTGCGAACCCGGTGGATGCTGTTTCACAGATGGCTCAGTGACTCGCCGAGAAATGTGATCAGCCTCACAGTTCGGATGTATTAAGAGCAGAGGGCAAAGAAGCAAATCATTTAAAAACTCTCACTGGCGTTGCCTTTTTGCCTTTCCGTGCGAGGTTACTCTGCCAGGTTTTCTCTGCCTGGTCAGAGGTGACTGATTCCTCCTTCCCTCCTCCTTGAGCAAGGAGTTCCCACAATTACTCTCACTCTCCTGACCCCTAGCTATGCATTCGGCTCCGACACGGGTAGGATATGAATACCTTCCCCTCGTTCTTGATTGGATGTCCCTCCGCTGCTGTCACGCTACCTGTTTATAATAGAATTCTTAACGGCTTCTGTCTGTTGCGTGCCCACGACTGCTCTCGCGCTGGAGCGTTCCACACCTGGCACCAAGCCTCACAGGCCTTCAAGTCGACTCTGCGGCAGCCCCACAGGCGGAGTCGCCCAAATGCCCGGAGCCCTGCTGACGTCATCCATCAGTCTCGAACAGCTCCTCTCGGCTTTGGATAAATATGCTTTGCTTTGTCCAAAGGTGAGCGATTTTCCTCACAGTTGCCCCTAGGCCCAAAGTCTCTTAGTTCCTGGCTCTCAAGTGTGGTTTCCTCCTCGGAAACAGCCCTCGCCCTCCCTGTCCCGCGCTCGCAGTGGCCGCCCCTCACCTTGGGCTTCTCTACATCCTCCTCAGGCAGGCAGCTGCCATCCAGGCAGAGGCTCCCGGGCCCGCAAGGCGTCCCGTCCGCCCAGGGCAGGCTGCCATTCTTCGTGTGGCAAAGGGGCTCGGCGCCATCCATGTGGCACCAGAGCTGGGCACAGATGTCCTGAGCAGAGGTGTTGGGGCAGTGGCGGAAGCCCAGACCAAAGATCTGCTTGCACTGTTGGTCCAGCTCGTAGAGGGCCCTGCGGCCTGGGAGGCCTGTGGGCAGAGGCAGGGCCGAGGTAGGGGCGTCCAGGAGACAGTCTCCTGTGGAGGAAGCAGAGGAATAGGAGGAAGGGGTTCCCCCCCCTGCCATCACACTCGAGGCCTCCTTGCCCTCCACCTACAAACTGTCAGCACTCAGTCATCCACAGAAGCACCTCCAAGTTTTGACTATCAGCAGCAAGTTTTTGTTTTAAGAGTTGCGTTTCTTTTGGTGTCCAGAACATCTTATATGCATTCGGTGTTTACCTAGGGAAGGCCAGCTAATCGTAACGCTAACCTATGTCACAGTATAACTGGGGATGTAAATGGACTCTTAAAAACCAGGCCAGGAGAAATAAAGCCAAAGTATTGATGTTGGACAATCTATTATTTTTCTATCAAGAATCAAGAACCAGTTGGGTTTTCACTGCTTTACTCAACAAGTCAGGCTGTCTTCACCAAGCACCTCGCCCCACTCCTTGCCCTCACGGGGCGCTTCCCGCCTCTCTGCCATTTGCACGCTACCCTGTGATCTATCGCTCCAGCCAGAAGCTCCCTTCTCCCCTCTGCACGACACAAATTCTTCCATTCCTTCGACCTCTGTTCGAACCCACGTCCTCCAGACAGACCTTCTCAGACTGCTTCCACCTGCTCTGTGGGATAATCTAAAGGGGCTGCTGGAAGCTGGGCCAAGGAAGGGCATGCTCTGTGCAGTGGTCAGAGCACTGAGCCCGGCGGGGCGGCGGGGACACAGCTCCTGAGTCTCTCCCAGGCCGAGACGTCTGCGCTGCAGGTGCCGGCCACTGGCCAGGGAGGAGCCTGGGGGACCTACCGTGCCCGCCGTCCAGGAGCTCCGTGAGGTACATGGCGCTGCAGGGGGACCAGGGCAGCGTCTTGTTCAGGTGGACGAAGAGGGGCGCCATCATGTGGTGCTTGCCCAGGGGCCCGAAGAGCCGAGCACAGGGCTTGGAGTCGTCGTGGGGCATGCTGAGGACGTGCCCTGGGGAGGACGAGACCCGCGGTCCACCCAGCGTCGCCACTGCCCTCAGCCGTCCGCCCAGGGGGCAGAGGGCCTCTGAAGGCCTACGCAGCGCCGGCTCCTCGAGGGACCACCACAGCACTGCACTTATTCCCCAAAGACTGTTCCCGGCCCACCCTGCCTGGCTGTCCTCCTCAAGGAAGCTTGCTCAGAGCTCCAGGAACACTGGGGTCCCTTTATTTTCTGCTGGGGCCTGTGAGGATTCACACTCGTCTCAGTCATTCGCTAGCTGACCTTCCAGAATCCTGACTGCTTAGCCGGGATGCGGCCCCACGGCTCTACCCGAGCGCTGGCATTTCCCTGGTGACCTCCGAGGATGGCCCCGTGCTCAGGGTGGGGGTGGAGACAGCACGAGGGCAGAGTCACCCTGCCGGAACGAGGAGGGGTGGCCCCAAGAGGCGGCAGGGTCCTGGGGGGGCCTCGCTGGCTGGACTCGGGAGGGCCGGTCCTCCCACCCGGTCCAGCAGCCCAGGCCTCTGGCGTGGCGAGCCTTACCGAGCTCGTGGGCCAGAGTGTAGGCCGCCTGCAGGCCCTCGTCCTCAATCACGGAGCAGCTCTTGCTGGGGTCACAGATGGTGCCGATGTCCGCCACGCCCAGGGTGTCACACAAGCCCTCCTTCCCGCAGAAGTTCTGCTCGCGGAGAGAGCGGGACGTGAGGACAGACACGGGACGGAAACCCTTCCCATTCCTGCGCCTCCGGAGACGCAGGACACGTTTTAAGTCAAATCCCTATTTCTCCCCAAAGGCCGTTTCTCCTTCTGTGTTGGCGTGTCCTCGGGCTGCCGGAGACTCGGAAAGCTTGTCCCGGGAGGTGGGATAGCCTGGCGGTGGTTAAGGGTGTGGACCCCACAGCGAGGTGGCCGGGGCCTGACTGCGGGCGCTGCCACGGGGTGGCAGCTCTGTGCCTCGCTTTCCCCAGCTGTAAAGTGGGGCTAAAAAACGCAGCACTCGCCTTGGGGTTGTACGTGCGGCCTGGGGGCGGTGAGCAGGGTCTCCACACGTGATCACACTTGCTGGCCTTCAGGAAGCCATCTGTTTAAACCACACCAGGGAGATGGGCAGGCCTCCTGCCATTGGGGAAATCTTGAGGGGACCCCCTGGTTACCTCCACCGGCTTTAATCCCCACTGCAGCTGGACCTCCTGTCTTAGTTCCAGCTCCACATTGCTCTCTGGGCAGTTTGAGCCCCTTTCCTCTTGTTATGACCTCAGCAGGCAGCTGCTCACAGAGTTCCGAAGCAGGAGCCCCCACGAATTCCTCTCCTTCCCTCGCAAATACCCCATACGTGGCCTCGTGACCTCCCCGTCCTTGTCCACGCACGAGGCTCCTGGTGTCCAGCTGGGGCCAGCAGGGCGCCGGTCCCGTGTCTGGGCGGCCGTGGCCCCCTCGGCGCGCCCTCCCACCCCGCCCCCGGTTCCCAGGGGCCCGCGGACCTGTCTGGTGAGCAGGACGGCCGTGTCAAAGTGCTCGGGGTGCCGATCGCTGGGCTGGTTGAAGCGCCGCTGCCACTGGCAGAAGTTACGCAGCGTCAGCCCGCCGTTGTCGGACACCTCGGGGCCCCACCTCTCATCCTCCACGATCAGCACCTTCACCACCATCAGGTTGATGGAGTTCCTGATGCTGGGGTGCTTGTAGATGTGGGCCGCCACAGACATCAGCGTCAGCACGTGGTTCTGCAGGAAGGAGGGGTGGACAGGGAGGGGTGAATCTCCTGGCCGCCGCCCGCCCCTGCCGTCACGCCGAGTTAATGCACCCTGTGTGCTGGGCATCGGTACACAGCACCTCGGTGAAGGCTCCCCAAACCCCCGAGGCCCTGGCATTACTTCCCTTCACCGTACATATAAGAAATTCACGGCTCAGTAGGTGGCCCAAGGGCCCAGAGCTAGTGTGTCAACCAGTGTGTGAACCCAGAACACCTGGCTCCAAAACTTAAGCGTTTAACATCCTGACCAGCCACACGTGGCCATGGACATCTAAATCCATTAAAATTCAATAAAATGAAAATCCTACCTCCTCTGCCACACTGGCCACATTTCAAGAGCACCAATAGCCGTGAATGGCTCATGGCTACTGCGTCGGACTGAGCAGACAGAACATTTCCATCATCACAGAAAGTTCTTCTAGTGGACTGCACTGGTTATTCTACCTTAACCCTGACGCCGACCGTCTCCCTGCCAGCCACGCATCCCCTCTCCGCCCTCAGCCCAGAAGCAATTATCTGAGCGCTCAAGGTTAAAATCCGTCGAGAACTTTCCAGATGTCTGCTGGGGTAACCCCTGCTCTTCAGGATGGGAAAACTTTGCTCTGATGACCACTCCTAGCAATAGCTCCTCTGCACCAGTCACAGACGGTACACGTGTCACCTCACTGAATGCTCATAAAAACTCTGGGAAGTAGGGATTGTCATCCCCATTTCACGAACGAGGAAGTGGAAGTTCTCACAAGTTAAACAACTTGTCTACAGCCGTGCAGCTCTTAAAGCCCGAGTGCCAGCCCAAGCGTGTCTGTCTTAAAGCCCGAGTGCCAGCCCAAGCGTGTCTGTCTCTGAGGTCTACACTCTTCTCAGTAAGTTTCCCAGGGCTGGGCCTCCTGGCTTCTGCCTGGACAGCCCAGAGAATCGGATGGGTCGCTGAGACCCAGGCGCTCAGGCTCCCCCTGCTTCCGGTCCCACCAAGGCCAGCTGAAGGAGTTGACATCGGTGCTTGGCCTCTGCTCCAACCCTGGGCTGCCAACTGCTCCCAAGGCTTTGGGGGAGGCCAGATGGGGCTCACTCTTCTGCCTCCAGGACCTCCAGAAGGGAGTCCTCTTGGATGACTGTGCAGAACAGGAGACGAATGGAGCAGAGGCATACAGGCCTTCAGGCCTCCAGCCAGGAGTGTGGCCAGCCCTCCTCCCTGCTCCCTAGGGCACCACCTCCTGTAGCCCCTCTTTCTTCCCTCCTGTGTTCTGGAAGGAAAGGAGGGTGAAAGGCTAGAGACGGACATTCCATGGGCTGAGGCCATGTGTGGGAGTTCTAGACGAATCCCACTGTTTGTGAATGGGATCTGTCTGTTTACCTCGCAGGCAGCCAGCCAGATATTTTGTAAGTAAGCCCTACAAACAGGGGTTGGCAGGTTACTTAGTGTGTCAAGCACTCCAGCTATGTTTAGGCTGATGTAAACGTCTTATTAGCAAAGCTGAAACTTGGCACCAGCCCCTGGAGTCGGATTCCTGAGGGAAACAAGCAATCACGTCAGTATGCAACTGGGGGCGAGGGCTGAGGAGTGGCAGCTTGCTGGGGTTACGTCCTCCAGGCCTCTGCTGCGTCCGGGGTCTCCTATCCCAGGAAGGACCAGGGGCCAACTCCGGGAATTTCTTCCGAGACAACCTGAAGCTCTCCTCACAGGACGCCTTCCTTTCAGTCCCACCTTCACAACCTCATAACCGGGGAGCTGCTGTCTCACAAAGAAGGTGTGAAGATGAGAGATGCCAGATGCTCCGAGGCAGTCCCCGAAGGCTCAGAATAAGGAACTGAAGACCTAAGGTTTCGGAAGGGTCTGGTTCCCAAGCTGCCTGGTCAGACTAGCAGAGACCATGTGATGGGCACGTCCCCGATGAGAACCAGAGGTGCACACGTACAAACTGCTGCACAAAGGCCGGCACGGGTGCGCATCCCGACACCGAGGTTCTTGGAGCCTCCTTGCTTGAGTTCAGGCAGCTCACAGCATCTTCTCCCGACACCGAGTAACAACTGGGGGGCTGAGCTGGCTTGAGAGCCGTTTCCCTTCCAGGATGTGGGTTAGACGGGAGAACATTTGAAGGTCCTTCTGGCTGCTTTCTCAGAAGATAATTCCCATCGCGAGAGGGCTGCCAGGACTGTGTGCGCCAGAGTTTCTGTTCAAGTCCCCAGTCCTGGTCCGGCTCACCTCCCCTTCTGTCTTGCCTCACTGCACTTTTGGGGACGGGATGCCCTGCCACCATCAGCTCCTCTGAGGAACGGTGGCCCGGCTGACTGTGCATCTGACAGCGCCCTGGGGGAAGGGCCACTGGGCCTGGGCGGGTGGGCGGCCGTGAGTCTGTGAGCCCCGCTTCTCGGTCCATCTCCTGGTCCAAAAGGGCAGGCCTGACTTCCAGTCCCACAGAGTGGGCCCAGGAGCCAGTCAAGGGGAAGGTTAGCTCACTTGCTCTACCGCACCCTGTCGATTTATGCCTCCCTGTGCACCACGTGGGTGCGGGCTGCGGGCTGCAGCGGGGCCCCCAGCAGACAACCTCCCCACAGCCAGGTCGGGTAGGTCAGAGCCCAGGGCCAGCCGGGCCGGGGTGGTCACACAACCCGACTCTGGAATGGCCCGGGAGTCTCCTGCCCTTGAGTCTCCTTAGGGAAAGGTGGGCACTTTTCTGGGGCCCTCCTTCTCCATTGGCACCCCCAGGACCTGGAGGAGCGAAAAGACACTCCGCCAGCTAGGCTGGGACATAGCCCTCTGATTCTCTGAGACACAAACAAGGAGATTCCTCCCCCGGAGCTCCCTCCCGTGCAGCCGAGGCCCGCTATGGCGGGAGTCTGGTGAAGGCCGGGCCCGGGCCAAACACACTTCCAGCAGCTACTGCTCAGAGCGTCATCCCTGACGCTGTGGGCGCAGCACTCTCCTTGCAGCACGCCTGGCAGAGGCAGGGAGAGGAGGGGTGGTAACGTGGCAACTCTGCGGCCTCCACAACGGGGCCATCACTCTCCCTTCTGGCATCTCTCTGGGGCCTGAGACTGCTGGGGAGGAGGGAGAGCAGACGGAGAGGAAAGAAGAGACGGAGAAAAGACAAGGTCCTGCACAGATTTCCTTCATCCGTCCTCGTCCTCCAAGCAGCGAGGGCCGAAGCACGCAGTTTTCAGTACCACGAGGGGCCCAGTGGACACAGTCCAGGCAGAGCAGAGGCTGAAAGGCAGGTCCTGTGCTGCGGGCGACAGCGCAGCTGGCACAGCGCTGGCTGGCTCTGGGGACCGCCCTGCCCTCCTGCTCTGACAGATGCATCACCCAAGGCAACTCTAGTGCCAGCCACGCTTCGTCGAGCACCTACTATGTGCCAGGCTCCGGGTCAGGTGCCTTCCGTGTTTTACCATCTCCTCCAGACACTGCCAGGACATTGGTATAACTGTGCCCGTCAGGCTGGTGAGGAAATCGAGGTACAGAGAAATGGGTGACTCGCTCAAGGCCACTCATTGTCTATTTCCTGTCAAAGTCTATGCTCCTCATCACGGCACTGACTGTCACCCTCTTTGCTGCTGCAAAAGGAAAACTGCAGCACAGCCCGAACAAAGCATGCAAGCAAGCCAGCCAGGGTGCCCCTGACGTTGTCTCTGCCCAACGCCCCCCCCCCCCCCCCCCCCCCCCCGCCGCTTTCCCCCCTTGGTGTCCATACGTTTGTAGGAAACTGTATTTTTAACAAATGCTCCAGATGAATTATATCCTTAGCACGTTTAGGAAGCACTGATCTGCAAGTGTGAGGAGTGTCGGGAAAGCGTCTTGAACGGCCAACACGTGTTCCCGGGCACGTAAACTGAGATGCGTTTTAGGAACGTTGCCCCCCCGCCGCCCCCCTGGGGGGGAGGGGGAAGTGGAGAATCAAAGACGGTTGAATACTAGGACCTTCTCTTTGGGAAAGACTGCACAGAGTCCATCATTCTGACGGCAGCGGACCAAAGGGACGGAGAAGCCTTGGTCTTCTGCCGGCGGGGGAACATACTCCACATGCATATAACGTGGCCTGTGGACACTCGGGCATGTGTCTGTTTCTGTTATTATCCAGAACAGGACACTTTTCAGAGTGAAAGATGAGACTATTAATAATTATGCCAGAACGAACAGGCCTAGATGGAGGCTGTGCTGGGCAGGCCAGGGTACCTGGCCACTTCGGGTATTAGGGCTGGTGGGGGAGACAGACATTTCCCCAGGGGGCAAGGGCAAGGGGAGACGAAATGGCTGTGACTTGGCCCTTCCCGGAAACCACCTGCTAGTAGCCTGAATCTTGGGACTCCTCTGGTCTTCTCTGGGGGCCCTCCCTGCTCAGCAGCGAGTTCAGAAGTCAGCCTGCAGCTGCTGCCCCGGCAGGACAGCTTCCCAGACCAACCCTGGGGCGCAGCACAGTCCCCACTCGCCCCTCTCCTGCTCCAGTTTCATCCAGGGAACAATTAGCCGCGGCCGGATGCAGACAGGGTTAATGGTCTCTTCCGAGGTGGTCCCTCCTTTCAGGAGCCCCTTTTGTCTAAGCTCCTTAACTCTGAAACCAGAGAAGAAGATGGGAGACAGGGGCCCCTCCCGTCAAGGGACTGACTGAACCCAAGTGCACAGAGTCTGGAAGACTCCCCTGTCGCTCAGCCGTGAGACCAGCCTTGCGCGCGGTTGATTCTTTCTCTTGGCCTCGAAGGCGGCTCCTTCTCAGGACTGGGCCTCCCACTGCGGCTGGACGTCTTTGGGCTGCTGGGTTCAGTGACCCAGTCCCACAGCGTGGATGATGTCAGGGGAGCCAGGGCCTCACACCCTCCAGGTGCTCAGGAGGAGGCATGGCTCAGTGAAGCACACCGCACTCAGGTGCTGCGAGAGCCGGCCTTTCTTCCTCTGCCCCTTCACAGGCATCTCCACCCAGGCGGTGCATGGAAACCACTCTGCAGATTGAGCACGCTCAGCGGGCGGCTTCTCCACGTGGTGCTGAACTTGCCAGAAGACTCACCACGAAGCAGCCTCGTCGACGTCTGGGCTAGAATCGATTACCTAGTGCAGGCGCCCCGCTTCACAGGTGAGGGGAAGGCGTGCTCCACCCCCCTCACACACCCCCGCTGCCGGGACACCCCGAAGCTTTTTCCACCTGTATGAATGAAGTCTCCAGGAGGCCCCTCGGAGAGTTACTTGTAAAGAACTAGGCTCCATTTGGGGAGGTGGGTCTGGGCAGGCAAGGTCGTGGGGAACCGGCCCTTGACATCCACTCCTGTCTTGGCCGAGCCAGGAAGCCCAGGGAATGGAGCTGAGAAGTTCAGGTCTGCTCTGTGGCACCTCCATAGCCTGTGATCGGTCGGAGCAGAGGGCCAGGGGCCAGTCATAGAGGCAGCTGTGTCTCGGCCCCTGCCCCACCCCAGCGCGGTGACAGCAGGATGCAGGCAGTGACGTGATGAGACCAAGGGGGAGGCGGCACGGCTGGCCCCAAGGAGAGAGGGAGCCCCCCGCCTGCCCAGGGAGAGGACCTCAGTCTTCAAGGTGCCCGATGCCTATTGCGACGCGCTTTCCGGGCCCGAGGGAGCCGGCTGCTGCAGAGGTGCCAGTCTGTGAATGGTCCAGAAACCTGTGTGTGTGCAGGGGGAACAGATGGGGCAAGCGTGCTCTGGGTCACCCAGCCAGGGGTCATACGAGGGTGGAAGTGCTCCTGGGTGGCTCTGCAAAGAGCAAGTCAACTTGTCTGGTGCAGCAGACCTGGGCAGAACCCAGCCCAGCCCCCGGCTTCCGTGGCTTGGGAGCCCTGGCGGCGGCAAGCACGTCTGCTTTCAGATGGCTCTGACCTCCGGAGCTGCCGAGTGTGTGCTGGAGGCAAACAGACAGCATCTGAAGTGTCTGGGCGCTGAGCTCCGAGTGAGATGGTAGGAGAACGTCAGGGAGGACATTCTGGCTCTGAAGACCGAAAGGCAAGTTTCTCTCCCTGCTGCTGCTCCGTGTTCTTGTTGGCTTTCCTACCTCCTGGTTCTCAGGCAGCTGTCAGAAAGGAGTCGTGCGTGGGAGGGGCTGAGCCCCTCAGCTCTGGGTCTGCGGTGAATGTGCTTTCTGACAGAGCCCCTGGTCGCTGGAGTAGCCATCCTCACCAGAGACGGGAGAAGCCCACCGCCCTGCCGCCCTCTGGAGGACTTGCTTGCAGAAGGGAGTCGGGGAAGGCGGCTGGTGCCTCCCCCTGCTCTCATGGAAGGCAGGGAAGCAGATACTCGTCAGTGCAGACCCACAGTCCCGGGGGCAGACCGCACTGAGGGCTCCAAGCCGCCTCCCCGTGCTCTGGGAGGACTGAATACCGGGACAGCGCACATGGAGCCCGCGGGGCTTTAACGGCCCAGCAGCAGCCAGGGGAGCGGCCAGCTCTTCCCACCCTTCCATCTAGAATGCATTTCCCAGTGACTGCAGAGCGAGAAAGCTGGGGCGAGAAGCTGGAGGGCCGGCTGCACCTCGTCTAGACTATGCTGCATAGGGAATGCCAAAGCACTACTAGGTGCCCGCAACAGCTGGGCACAGGCCGAGCCTAGAATAGGGTCCCAGCCAAGACTGCCATCACCGAAAAGGCAGCAACTGAGCTGCAGCAGCGGCCAAGGTGCCTTTTTCAGGAAACTGTGGCCGCTGGGCAGGTCAGTTCTCCACCGCGCACGTCTCTGGTTCTGCGCTCCCCCAGGAGGAGAAAGCGCGGCCTCTCCTGGAACCCTTCCGCTTCACGAGGTGTTGGGGTGTAGGGTGACACACACACCTCCTGCTGATTCTGCACCATCCCGGAATCTAGTGGGAAATGGCCTGGCTACAGGAGCTGTTCCCTGGAATCAGCTTTCCTGTCCCAGCTCCGTTGAGAGCTGTGTCTGGGCAGAGAGCAGCTCAGGCAGACCAAGGATAGTTCTGGCTCCACCAGGAACATTCACCGGAGCAGTTCAGATCCCCACCCCCTTCTCCTTCCCTTTTCCACTGAAGCTTCAGTTTCCCGGGCTGAGCCCCCAGGCAGAAATTCTGTTCCCCTCCCTTGTTGTGCTGATGCCGGCACTGCCAAGTTCTGCCAGGGCTGAGCGCCAGGTTGGCAAGGTGTCCGTGCCCCTGATCAGAACCAGCTGGGCACACAGAAGTTGGGCAGCCCCTTTCCAGGTTCAACTCCCTGCAAACAATGTCTTTTACTTATGGCAGCCTCAGTTCTGTAGGCAAAGGGAATCTTTCCATCCCAGCTGCCTCTCCCTGGGAGCCTCCCAGGTCTGGAGACAACAGAGGGCGGAGACGTGGGGGTGGGGTGGAGGTTCTCCCCAGATGTTCACTTATCATGTCTGTTGGGAGGGGCAGGTGTCTGGGGCGGGG